AGGCCGCTAATGCATTACAAACTTACTTGTGAGGAGGCATAAGTGGTTGAAGGCAATAAGCAAGAGGAAGTCTGTCAACGTGATATTCATCGATTTCAGTAAACGTTCGACAACATCAGCCATGAGGTTCTCCTTCATAAACACAAAATATGCGGTGTCGGTGGCTCAGTGCACCGGTGGGTCCGCGACTTTCTTGTTGGACAAAAGTGGAGGGTACAGGCTGACGACCATCTAACTGACTGGTTTCCCTCTACAAGTGGAGTGCCTCAAGACACTGTGCTGGTACCCACTCTGTTCCTGATCCACATCGACGATCTACCTCAGTTTCTGCGGTCGACATGAAGCTTTGGAGAGAAATTCACGCTCCCGACGACTGTGGCGTACTTCAGAAAGTCTCCAACCGCCTATCCACATGGTCTGCAGAAGTTTATCGCCCTGTCAACCCAGCCAAATCTGTATTTATGAGCCTGGGGAAAAGTGCTGACGGTCGAATCTACACCGTTGGAAACCAACCTAGGTGTACTCGCGCACTGCAATTTGAAGTGCGTGGACAACACGATCATGTTATATCGTAAAGGACTACGTGTCTTTAGGCGCTAGAACGTAGCTTCGGCACTTGGTCTGAAGAGGTTGCTACTCGCCTCTTCTCTTTCATCATCAGACCAATGCTAAAGTACGGTTCGCCCACCTACTTTCCAATTACCCGAGGCAAGGCACGAAAGATCGAACTGGTCCAACGCGTTGCTACCAGGCTCATCCCGAGTTTACGTGGCTTGCGGTATGAAGACCGGGGCGAGAAACTAGGACTCTACACCTTGTCCCACCGTGGGATGCGAGTCGACCTCATTATGACCTACCGTATTCTACATCTCGGTGACTTCCCAATGCTGAGGCCAATGCTGTACTTACGAGGGTCATGCAGTACACGCGGACACAGATACAAACTTCTAGTGCCGGATGTGAAGTAAGTTCCCCACCCACTGTGCTTCGAACGGAGAGTGGTAAATATTTGGAACAGTTTACCTGAACGTGTGACGGAGGCAACATCTGTGCAGCAGTTCAAAACGTTGTAAGATTTATAATTTACCACTATTCAATTCAGAGAACGACTGCACACTTGCGATGACATCTCACACTTGTGAGTCCTGCAATACCGTGAGCCAGATCTTGCAAATGTAACATGAGAACGATAAAGATATTAACGAGCGCCGATTTTTATAACGCCTTTCATCGTATATCGAAAGTGTTGTACAGAATACATTTCTACTTGCCCCACAATACAGTATACAATATTCAGCTTTCGCTTGAAGGTGGAGATTTAGGGCTCGCGTGGCCGTGAACCAAAACAGTGTTGACATGGAAGTGGCAAAGCGGTTCGATTGGCTTCTCTTTTCTGAACCCTCTTGAGGATGTGAATTGTCAGGTTGGCATGGTCGGGCAAAATGTCAAATGTTTTGTCGAAAAAATGAGAGGTAGAATATATTAGGCTTCCGTTCCTTCTAGCCTTCACATGTAAGTGGTGCTGTTAGGCTTGTCTCACCGAGTGCATTAAATAGCAATGATAACCTGAAGAAAAGACAGTGGTTTGATTGGCCCCCCTTTCAGAACACATTTGGAAGTGTCAACTTTCAGGTTGGCGTGCGTGAGCAGAGTATTGAATGCATCCAAACTAGGTAAAAAGTAAGTAATATGTTGTTTTTTTCTTTACCTGCAGATGGGACTTCATACATGACATTTTCGAATAGAACAAAGGGTAATGTGTTCTAGGATGATGCTTACTGGACATCTACTTTGGTGACAATTCTTAGTTGCCTGGTTTCGTTGCGCTACCTCTTGTTACTTGACATTGGTTTAAACGCCTCGATTGGCCAGCCTGCGTCGTTAGAAATGGAGGTTATCTCAGAGGCTCATTTCTGTTTATGCCGTTTACTCGAACTCGCGCGCTTGGCTCTTTCTTTTACCACTTTTACTACTACTACTACTACTAATAATAATAATAATAATAATAATAATGATAAAAGGTATATTTCTCATTGAATAAGAAAATGTGACCCTAAGTGGCACAGATCATATTTTACAAAATATGTCATGCTCATGCATGTATGGTAAACAGTTATGTGCTGCTCATTGTTTTTGCTGTTACAAGGGTTTGCATTACCTCACAGGTGTGTTTCGACAGAATGTGCACTAGTTGGCATAGTGGTTGGTAACAGCACTAGGCGTGTGACATACAGTATAAAATATTTTTATTCATTAGATGTTGTCTGGCCCTTCTTGGTACAAATCATCAAATAATGTCTCCCAAGAGAACAGGGTCATAATCGTGTTCAAATCTAGCTAATTGGTGAGCTGAACCCGAAAGGCTGTTGCGATCTCACATGGTCTGATTGTGACTGGGAGCTTATTCCACAGGACGGCATATTTGATAAGGAAAACAATAGACCGCAGATTTACCCTTCACTTGGGTACACTCAGGGTAAACTCGTTATTACGTAGCTTGTAGTGTACCGGAAAATACGCTCTTTCAGTATTTTGCAACACTGGATTTTACGGTTGTTTTAACCTTCGAAATGGCCACTTGTTTTACTGACTGCACATCCGTTGACACAAACAGTTTTGGTGAGTACCTCGCTGCACGTTTCTCGCTCTGTCTGATTCGCTTCCCATTCTTGTAGCCTGCACAATATACGTTGGGTTCAGTCGCCTCCGACTTCTATACTGTCGTATTTGACACGTCTTAGGTGTCATTGCTTACCGACTAGTATCCCAGGCTCCGCCCAACAATTGGTGACCCCGTGTCAGGAACACGCCGTCCGCCATTTTGAATTTTCATTCTGGTGAGCTCATTCTAGTGATTTTGTGATTCATTACTCGCTATCGTTTCGTTTTCTCACTTGCCGCGTATACTTATTCATTTCTCACAGTGAATAGTCCTGATGATATACTATCTATGTACGTGGCTAATGCCGTAGAGCTAGCCTCCTCACCTTTTTTGGGAGAATGACCCGTTGTTATGGTTTGCGCATTTAGAATCCACTTTTTACAATCTCAAAATTTCTTCGGATAATGCTAAATATCATCAAGTTATGTCCCGCATTCCGCAAAGTGTATCCTCCCAAGAGAGAGATATTATAGCTTGCCCGCCTCCCGATGCGAAATATGACACTTTAAAATAAGCGATTATTCAGCGAATCACGCCCTCTGACAAGGTCCGACTGCAGCAACTGTTTAGGGATCTACAGCTAGGGGACAGGATGCCTTCAGCCTTGTTACGACAGGTGCAACAGCTCCTAGGCACATCCAGCATGGACGAAGGTATTCTCCACGAAATGTGGATGCAACGCCTCCCGGAAAACACACAAGCCATCCTCGCCGTCGCAAGCGCCCTGCCTCTCGCAGCAGTTGCAGAACTAGCAGACCGTGTCATCGAACGACATCAGCCAACAAGCGAACCTAGGACATTCACTCGACTTAGCCCCGTTGCAGCCCCAGCGACATACGCGACTAGTGAGCCGTCGGCAATCAAAGCTTTATCATCGCAAATAGCGTCACTACAACGCCAAGTCGATAAACTCTCCCTAGATGGTAAGCAGCGCAACCGCTATAGCTCATTGCCACTTCGCAAGAAGCCTAACAATTAAGGCTTTTGCTTTTACCACTCGCGTTTTGTTAACAAAGCCCGTAAGTGCGAGTAACCATTCAGTTTCTCCGCCGCCAAGCAGGGAAACTTCCAGGCCGGCCCGTAATGGCGACCAACGGTGTCGGCAAGGCACAAAGTCGTCTCATCTACATTAGGGATTATGACTCCGATACACAGTTCTCAGTTGATACCGGAGCGAAATTCAGCGTCATTCCCCCTATGACAGGTGAGCCCACCGCTTCTCTGTTGACAAACCTCAGTGCCGCCAACGACATGCCAATAGGTCATCGGTCGCTTACCCTAGACCAAGATCTGCACACGTTCCGCTGGATATTCATCGTTGCTGCAGTCCCCTTTGCCATCATTGGCATTGACTTTCTCAGGCATTTTGACCTCTTGGTCGATGCGAATCGCTAGAGGATAGTCGACACTGCAATGAAACTCAGTGTACGTGTCATCACCGCCGATGTCCCATCTATATCCCCGGTCTATGCAGTTCCCCAGACCTCGCCTGACTACGGTAATCTCTTTTTTCAATATTCCAAATTCGTTCCGCCAATGAAAGCAGCTTTGCCCGTGGCAGCTCAAGTCACGCACCACCTACGGACGAATTGCTCACCTGTGTCAGGACATCCACGCCGACTATCGCCTGAGAAACTAAAGGTAGCTAGGGCGGAGTTTTAGCACATGCTTGAACTTGGAATAATCCGCCCTTCCGACAGCCCTTGGTCCTCGCCCCTGCAGATGGTCCCCAAAAAATCTGGTGACTGGCGCCCTTGCGGTGATTACCGCGCACTTAATCGCCTGACCGTCACAGATAGATATCCCATCCCAGACATGCAGGACCTTGCCACATGCCTCACAGGTAAGACGATCTTCAGCAAGATCGATCTGGTTCGCGCCTATCACCAGATACCTGTGGGAGACAATGACATTACTAAAACAACCGTCCTCACTCCTTTCGATTTGTTTGAATTTTTAAGAATTCTATTTGGACTGTGCAACGCTGCACAGACCTTCCAACGCTTCATCCACGATGTCACTCGTGGCCTAGACTTCGCCTATTCCTACCTCGATGATATTTTAGTAGCCAGTTCATCGGTGATATGGTCGTACCAGATAGACTTAATCGCGATGGGGTCCGTGTTCTGATTGAAAGTAACAAGTTCGAACACAATTCTGTGGCACACTCTGGTTTCGACTATCCAAAACCCCTGGGTCTTATTCGGGTTAGGTTTTGGTTCTAACCCTAACATCTCCCTCCTTGAAGATGTCAATCGTAAGAACGCTTCCAAGGGTTTACCAGCGATAGTGCTGCAAGACTAGTTGACCAGGGTGAACGCAATGAACAAAAATCGTTTCAGTGTCTGATGTGATTGATTGCACAATTTTTACAAAAGTTGGAGAAACATGCTGAAGTGAATTGTGTACCATTATCACTCACCAGGGTTTCTGGGTAGCCAAACTGGCTGAATAATTGTCTTAATTTCGAAACAGTGGCTCCCGCTGTTGTGTTTTGCATCAGAAACACCTCGGGCCATTTGCTGTATGAGTCGACAACTACTAGAACATTGTTACCATTAACGGGTCCGGCAAAATCTACATGCACACGAGTCCACGGTTTGTCAGGTGTTGGCCAAGGGTGGATTGCTTCTTTTTGTGGTGCTTTTGCTGCAACTGCACATTTATTGCAGCTCTTTGCTAACTCTTCTAATTGTTTATCCATGAAAGGCCAGTAGACAAAGCTGCGTGCTAGTGCTTTCATTCGGTTTATTTCAGGGTGACCAGTATGAAATTGTCGTAGCACCTTCGTTTGCAGGATCTTAGGAATAACAACCCTGTCTGCAAAAAGAATACAATCGTTCACGATGGACAAAGAGTGACTTCGCTGGTAGAACTGTTGAAGTTCAGCTGATTTACATGTGGTTGGCCACTTCGATCTCTGGAAATAGGCAACTTGTTTAAGTAAGGGATCTTGGAGAGTCGCATGACGAACCGCATCTGAGGTAACCGGAAGATTGTTTGACACGTCATTTATAATGAACGCAATGTCCGATTCCGCTTCTACAGATGCAATCACCGTATCTTCCTGATTCTGTTTGTGAGGTCCTATAAGTCGCGACAAAGCGTCTGCCTGACCAATACTGGTAGTTGACTGATAACTTATGTCGAAGTCATAGGCTAACAGTGTCAGTGCCCAGCGCTGCAAGCGGTTAGCTGTGTACACTGGAATTCCTTTTTTGGAGCCGAAAATGGTTAGTAGTGGTTTGTGATCAGTTAACAACGTGAAACGACGGCCGTAAAGCATCTTGTGAAATTTCTTTACAGCGTATATGATAGCCAAAGCCTCTTTTTCAATTTGGCTATAGTTCTTTTCAGCGGTTGTGAGAGATCTAGCAGCATGTGCAATAGCCTTTTGAGAACCGTCTGCATAAACATGGGATATGACCGCACCCATTCCTTTATCAGATGCATCTGAGGCTACAACGATGTCCCGAGAAGGATCGTAATGTGTCAATAAGAGATCCGAGGTTAGCAATGACTTAATCTCATTGAAACTAACTTCACATTCTGATGACCACTTCCACGTAGAACTTTTGGTCCGTAATTGCTTTAGTGGTGCACGTAGGCGATGCATGTCTGGCAAAAATGAACTATAATGGCTGACGAGTCCTAAGAACGAACGGAGAGAGGACATATCCGACGGTGGAGGCATGTTGCGGATCTCGTTGGTATTTTCCGGATCCGGACGTCTACCATTTTTGTCAAGGATAAAACCGAGGAATTTCATTGCGCTTAAAAAGAAATCACACTTGTCCTCGCGTAGGTAGAAGCCATGTTCCTGTATTCGGGTAAGCACATTATCTAGCGTGTTTAGTAGGTCTGACTGAGTGTGACCCATAACAATTATATCATCCAGATAAGCTGCTGCTCCAGTGATACCTGCCAACGTAGTGTCCATTAACTGCTGAAAAATGGATGGGGCCGATTTTACACCAAATGGTAAGCGATTATACTGGAGCAAACCACGATGAGTGTTTATCGTAAGTAGTTCACGAGAATCCTCTGCTACCTCGACCTGGAGGTAGACGTCAGACAGATCTAGGTTAGCGAAACATGTGCCCCCGTTTAATTTGGCAAAAATATCCTCTGGCACTGGAAGGGGATATTGATGGTTGTCAAGGGCTGCGTTAAGGCCAGTCGAAAAATCAGCGCAGATGCGTAGTTGTTTGTTTGGTTTCTTTACGACGACAATGGGTGCTGCCCATGCAGAATAGTTTACAGGAGTAATGACACCAGCCTGCTGTAAGCGGTCAAGTTCTTGCTCAAGTGGTTGAATAGCGGCGTAAGGTACGGGACGCTTAGGTCTAAAAACAGGTGTTGTTCCTGGACGCAACGTTAATGATGCCTTGAATTTTGTGCAGTGGCCAAGGGTCGTTTGAAACACGGTGGAAAATTTGCGCTTTAAAGACTGTATCATCTGCATAGATTCTGTTAGCGGAATTGTATGCATTTGAAGCTGGTTGCATATGGTGTTTAGGGGGATGTCAAGTAGTTCTAATTTCTCAATCCAATCAATACCCAGCAGATTAAGTGTGGGTCTGTCGGTTAAGTAACAGATTCCAGTCTTAAGAACACCGTTAAATGAGATTTCACAAGTAAACTGTGCGACCAGAGTAAGGACACCTCCAGAAGCATTATGGGCTATTTTATTAGTCGGGAACAACTTTGGTTTCTTTATATGGTGCCAGGTACTTTTCGAGATGATGGTGATGTCGGAGGCAGTATCCAGTTGTAAACGAGTTGGAGTACCGTTCATAAGCACCGTAATGAACTTTCTACGTGACACAAAACTACTTTGAAAAGCAACCTGAACGGGTAGTGATTTGGCAATGCCCAATTTACGGTTCTTATGGGTGGAAGAGTGTCGCTTGTTGTTCTGTGATCGACGCCGAATGCAAAATTCCTCTTTGTGGCCCGTTTTATGACATTTCTGGCAAACGTGTCGTTTGAAAGGGCAAAAACGTGCGAAGTGCCATTCTCCGCATGACCAGCATGGAGTAGGTGGCTTAGAAGGCATGTGTCTGAAACGTTTGGTCGCCATTTTGGGCACTTCCTTTTTCACAGCATGAACTGGCATCTGTGAATTGTGCTCAATAAGAGCCGTGTCATGTTTCAGGGTTAATATGCGCTTACACTCGGCTGCGAGGGAGTTGAGGGACATGTCCGGATGTTGATCAAGTTTAGAGAGGAGGCGCATACGAATTTCAGCGTCGTCAGGGGACTGTAAGGCTCTTATGTATATGAGACACTTAAACTGATCATCCGTCAATGAGCGTAGCTTAAAACGTTCACATTCACGGTTGACGGTGTCGGCTAATGTGCCATAGTCATCAGTATCACGTTTAACTATATTCAAGCATTGAAAACGGACACTAAATAACGAAACCGACTCACCGAATATCTCAGAAAGCTGGGATACTGTTTCATCAAAGGTGAGGTCTTTGGGCTGTTTCGGCAAGAGCAATAAGAGCACCTCGAGCATCTTCGAACTCTTTTCCAGCGCTTGACCCAACACGGTGTCACAATCGACCCGACTAAGTGCGAACTCGGCAAATCAAGGGTAGAATTCCTAGGCCACCTCGTTTTATCGTCTGGTATCGAAGTCCTTCCTGATAAGATCCAGGGAATCAAGGACTTCCCAGCTCCGACTTCGTTCAAGCACCTCAGTCGATTTTGTGGTTTGGTCAACTACTATCGACGCTTCATTCCGCGCTGCGCTCAGCTCATGCAGCCACTGACTTTCTCAGAGGAAATGAACGTAAGTTCGCTTTCCCTGAAACAGCACAGGCAGCCTTCGTCGAGCTCAAGGATGCTATCTCCAACATAGCCCTCCTCGCTCATTCCGAATCGACTGCACCTCTTTCTATTACGACTGATGCCTCAGACGTGGCAGTAGGAGCCGTCCTCCAACAACACGTTGGTGGGCAATGGCAACTCCTTGGGTTCTTCTCCAAGCGTCTGCAGCCAACGGAATCCCGCTACAGCACGTTTGGCAGAGAACTGCTGGCCATTTACCTAGCGATACGTCACTTCCGGCACACACTTGAAGGCCGCGCTTTCACGGTCTACACTGACCACAAGCCCCTTATCTTTGCCTTCAACTCGGCTTGCCACAAATACTCACCACGGGAAACAAGACACCTAGACTTTGTCACGCAGTTTACTGCTGACATACGCCATGTCTCAGGTGTCGATAATCCCGTCGCCGACGCTCTCTGACGCGTCAATCTCACTCTCCAGTCTTTGCCTACCGTCGATCTTGCCACCATGGCATCGGCTCAGGCGCAAGACAAAGATATACAGCGGGCTCTGAAGTCCAATGCGCTGCATGTGTAACATGTTCCTCTCCAAACCACGGAAGAAACCACTCTCTGTGACACTTCCAAAGGTAGTCCTAGACCCCTCGTGCCCGTATCCTTCAGACGTACTGTCTTTGACGCATTGCACTCACTATCACATCCCGGTATCCGTGTACCTTTGAAATTGGTCACCAAACGTTTCGTCTGGCCACGCGTAAACAAAGAAGTTCATACCTGGGCTCGCGCCTGCCTTCAATGCCAGCGCTCTAAAGTACATCGTCACACCCACGGCCCTCTCGGTTCATTTCCTGCCCCGGACTCTCGGTTCTTGCACGTACATGTGGACCTGGTATGTCCATTGCCTCCTTCAGGTGGATTCGTGTACATTCTTACATGCGTCGACCGCTTCACCAGATGGCCAGAAGCCATTCCCGTAACAGACTGCACAGCTGAGACTGTTATCCGGGCCTTCTTGGACCGGTGGGTCTCGCACTAAGGAAGCCCATCCACCATTACAACTTGCCGAGGAACGCCTTTCAAATCTTCACAATTCGATACGTTCTGCAACTTTTATGCTATTGCCGCATTCATACCTCAGCTTATCACCCAGAGGCCAACGGGTTAGTTAAAGGCTTCCATGGACAGCTTAAAGCCTCTCTCTGCGCCTCCTCCGACCCTAGCTGGAGCGAAAACATTTCTCTCGTACTCTTAGGCATTCGCAGCAGCATCAAAGTTGACTTGCAATGTGCACCAACAAGGTTGGTTTACAGCACGACGTTCAAGTTATCAGGAGAATTCCTTTCACCTCCCGCATTGTCGGGTATGTCTCAGCCTAACTTTGCATCCTCACTAGCTCAACGCATGCGTTCACTACGCCCGGCCCCGCCCCGTGAACAGACTAGAGATGTGCAAATGCCCAGCGGACTCTCTACCAGCACTCACGTCTTCCTCCGCACCGACGTAGTGCGGCGCCCTCTTCAGCCTCCCTACACTGGCCCTTTCAGAGTTCTGCAGCGGACTCAAAAACATTTTACTTTAGACCAGAATGTTCACTGAACAACGGTGTTCATCGAACGTCTCAAAGTGACTTTCGTTGAGGAACCACTTGCCACCCATCCTGATGCTCTCGCACAAGCACCCGCACCTGTGGTGACTTCCCGAGCACTGTGTAGTTAGGACCCCTCCGTACCCCTTGAATCGCCACCTATCTCGCCTCAACCCCAGACAAGCGACCGACGCGGTAGACAAGTCAAGCGTTCGGTCCGTATTTCAGATTTTGTAAACGTTTACTACTTACATTAACGCCTTTTTCCTCTTTAGTGGTTATCGTGCGTCTTGTTCATAAACGTTTCAGAAAATCTACAAAAAAACCCAGCATTCTGAAAACCTAAAATGCGTATTTACTTTTATCATACATGCCATGTTTCCTCTCCGGCGTCAAGCTACTTCTCCGACCCTTGCCCACCCCCTCTGGGTTCTACGTTCCAGAAACGCAACCGCCGGAACTGACCAGGCAACCCTCGAGTGACTCGCCAACCGGCTCAACGAGACCCCGAGTGATTTGCCAGCCGACCCAAAGCCCCCTTCCTCACCCAAGGAACAGACAGCCGCCCTCCGCCGCAGACACCCACGAACGGATTGGTCCCCAAACGCCGCGTAGACGTTGCCGATGAGGACGCCGGCTTTCTTCATGGGACGAGGACGCTTGGATTGCTTCGTAAGACGAGGACCGTGGACTAAAGTGCGTTGGGGGGAGTGACACCTCTCAAGCGCACCGTCGGGTCTGCAGTAAAGGGAAGGTCCTGTCGGCCATTTTTCTGGACTAGCCACTATTTTGCAGTCCGACCAGCCCGCCCCGACGGCCCACCGATGATGCACTCTAGTCCACACTATCATCCTAAGAAATAACTAACCAAAGCCTGGACCCAGCGAACTCTGCTGCACACCCCACCTTGGAAGCCTTTACTCATGCCCATGCAAATATTCGCCTCTGCCCTCACCTTCCGTTTTCCCCCACTAACAGCGCCATCGAAGGCTTCCATCCTTCAGCCTTCTAGCGGGAGGCCCTTGTAATGTACCGGAAAATACGCTCTTTCAGTATTTTGCAACATTGGATTTTACGGTTGTTTTAACCTTCGAAATGTCCACTTGATTACTGACTGCACATCCGTTGACACAAACCGTTTTGGTGAGTACCTCGCTGCACGTTTCTCGCTCTGTCTAATTCGCTTCCCATTCTTGTAGCCTGCACAATATACGTTGGGTTCAGTCGCCTCCGACTTCTATACTGTCGTATTTGACACGTCTTAGTTGTCATTGCTTACCGACTAGTATCCCAAGCCCCACCCAACAAGCTCCCTTGTCGAACTGTCATAGTTCTAGGGAGGGCAAATAGCAGTAAGCATTTTGATGAATCATGTTGTACAGGAGCATCAGGTTATGCCGCAGTCTCCGTAGCCAAAGCGGATCGAGCTGGAATTGTTGGCAGCGCTCCCGATAGCTCTTAGTGAAGGATTTGCCTGACAGACGTTTGGTCCATGACCTTTGTTTGCTTTCCAAAGATACGCTGTCAGATTTCTTCATGCTGCCACAACAGATACTGCAATATTCCAAAATGTGGCGGGTGAGGATTTTGAAGAGTTTTACTCTGGCTGGGTTTATGTGGATCTTATAAAGGACAATATTTATTGATTTACTGGCCCTAGCCAGCTGGTATTCCACTTTTTACGAACAGTTGAAGGTGCAAGAATATCTGATTTCGAAGTGGCGGGTAGATAGCTGTACACAAAGGTATTCGCCGTTGAGTGTAATTGAGCCCTCGGGTATCGAACAGCCACGATACATGATGCTCGACTTTTCGCCGAGAACTTCATCATCCAGATGTCGCATCATATTCGCCTGTCACATTCAGCGTCTCCTGTGTTGTTGGTTGACCCCGATTTGCTTTAGCAGCTTTGAAACACCCAGTATTTTACCTTGTCCAAAGAAGCAGGGTTCTCATGCATGCAACTCTGTCCTGACTCGTCTTCGGATCCCCTTTGCTATCATGGGGTGTGAAAGGTCGTCAACAACACAGCATTGAAATGGGGCGAAGCTGCATTATGTGGGTTTGGCAGTTGAGTGC